CAAATTGTATGGCGACAGGTACAAAAATGAGGGGTGTCAATCAGATTACCACGTCTTCATCAATTACATATAATACACGTCATAAACGCAAGTACGTTGCTTAGTGCTAGTGGAGCCGGTAGCAGACATCGATCAGCTGCTTATTTGTTACTCTAATATTGTATAGGATATTTTAGAAACCGATAAAAACTCGCTTCTCTAATACAAAATAAGTACTGATTTAATTATTCTGTATTTTTTTTTTTTGCTTTATACAACTCTTATTTATAATTCGAGTGTTCCACCGCGGTCAATATGGTTACCCTTTTAATCTTAGGAATAGTCAACAATAAACTTTAATGGATTAGAAGCAATAACATCAATATCAGATATCTACCAGATCAGTACAAACAAATAAAAAGGCTACGAGCATTAAAGTTAGTAATTTATCAAAAACTATGACGGACGGCAGCATTATTCCAACAATATTGTTAGTCGTATGTACAACAATACTCGTGATAGGTTTGAACATAGAAACTGGTTATCGTTATTAAATTCAATCGGAAAAAATGAGACTTGAGAAAAACAATGTGCATAAATACTTGTGCAATAAAAATATTATGTGTATGAAACCGTTGTTGGCAATTGAATATTTTTATGGAATATTTAGATTTCCCATATATGACTACTTTCTTCTGGTAGACAAACGAATAAAATTGCTCAGTTTATTGATTAGTTGTTTATGGGTTACAAGTTACTTCGTATTTTGTCTTGCATCAATCACAAGACCCGTCATGGCGACTAAAGCAGAATTTGTCGATGAAGTAGGATGGATTTTAATTGCAATTCAGTATACAATGACAAATTTAATGTGGGTCCTATTTCAAAACAAAACTAATAAAATCATCGTGGAAAAGTTTGCTGACATTGACTGTGTGCTACAAACAATTATTATTGACAATTTCTACAGCGAGTCACGCAAAAATGCCAATAAGTTAACAATTTTATTTTTTGTTACTTTTATATTATTAACGGCCTTTGTTATAACCTTAGAAGGCTATGTCCTTGTACAACGTGTAATTTGTTTAGTGATTTATTATGAACGAATAATAGAGGTATTTATGTTTTGGCATATTATTTTTATCCTGAGGCAAAGAATTTTGCTAATAAACAGTCATTTCGAAGAATTTTTTAAAAATCGCAGACCTGCAATAAAATTGGCCATCAAAAATCAAGTATGGACTAAAGGAAGTATTAGTTTCATAGGACACATTTCTTCAAAACAATTGAAAATGCAAAAGCTAACTTATGCATACAATAATGTGGGAGAGTTGTGTTGTTTAATTAACAGTGTTTACAATGTTTTTTTCTTAATGACTTTTATATCTGCATTTTGTGTTATAATCTGTACGTTCTGGACGTCTTTATATTACCTTAAATCAAAAGAACATTTCACATCCTTGTTAAAGATAATCGTCAGTAGCGGATGTGAGCTACTCATAATTAGTATCATATCTTTCTACTGCGGAAGTATTCTTGTAGCAAAAAATGAATTAAAAGCCTATTTAAATAAGGCTATTAATGATTATAGTTTACCAAAAAAGACGAGAATGCAGGCAAAAACATTTCTTGAGGTAACGCTGGCGTGGCCACTACACATATTTGTTTTCGACATGTTTCCAATTAACTTAAATTTTATTCTTAGATTTATAAGCGTGTGTACTTCTTCGTTAGTTATTGTTATTCAAATTTCTCACCTTATGTAAAAATGCTTATACTTATATCTTTCTTGTCATAGATATTTTTTTAATACTTTCTATTAAGTTTAATGTATCTCACATTCATATGCCTTCAGGAGTTGTAGCAATTTGTGTGAAGCTCGTTAGTGTGATATTACAAAAGCTATACTCACTACGTGTGAGCTCCTGGTAAACACAAATATTTCCAAAGATTTGTACCACATTACTGTATTTACAAAGCAAAGGCAGTTTATATGTGTTTATATGTATTTATGTCTACATATGTATATATGTATGTACGAGTATGTATGTGAGTCAAAGATAATTGGTATATACGGATTATTATGTATTTGATCTTTGACAACACTGACCTGCGAAGTAATGTCATAAACCTATGGACGGCACCAGAGTCAAGTCGACTCTGGTGCCGTCCATAGGATTGTGACATTACTACCGACTTGGGCAGCTTCGACAACATATTTGCACAAGCTGGGTAAAGGAATGTGTCAAAAGTACAACGCAAAACAAAATTGCTCCCTCATATTGCCTCAGTCTTGTTGTCATAAAAGAAGATAAACTCCTTTTAAACTGCGAATGGGTAGGGTTATCCGTTTGTTTCCAGGACGGACAGAGTAGCAAGGGTTGTTGAAATTCGCACAGCAGCCGACGTAATTTAACGGTCCAGCTCGAAAATTTGCAATTATCCCGCCGAGACGGAGGAAAGAATATAATATAATAATACTGGTGATGCAAGTGACACGTTGGAAGATAGTTCTGCCAGGGGGCCGGCATATAAGCCACAGAGTAAACCTGACGTCAAATTTAGCTAAATTAACTACAAATAGTTAACCTAATTTAAAATTCATTAACCGTCCTAAGCTTAACCGAATTGTGCATTTCATAGTAGAATAACGTTCGTCATTAAATTTAAAATAAAGAAAATCATTGAAGACCGTTCACTGAACCCTGTCTGCACAAGAATTAGTTTACACGCAAACAATTACAAAACTAACTATTTGTACAGGTGACATTAAATACCGCCTTTAAATGTAACAATAATAGTTATATAATTTTAAAGGTGTGTAATAAAGCAAGATCCTAATAAGCTTTGTACTTTTATTTAAAGTGTCATAAGAGTCCCATTTAGTACCAAAAATAAAATAAGCGTTACAAATACAACAGATATGAGTAGGTTTCCATTTCAAATTGTTTCAAATTTTTATGATACATGAAATGTACTCATTTTTACATTTGTTTATTTTCATAACACAATTTATAGAATATTCTACAGTTTAGTTATAAATGTCGCATAGCCCTACTCCATACGGTATATTGCCGAGAACGCCAGTTGCGTTTCCTCGCTGAATCGCTTAACTTGGTCTTTTGAGAAAAAGACAGTAAGCCCTCAATCAATGCAATCTGTTTTAATCTTCGAGCTGCCTCATATAGTGTATACAGTTTGACATAATACAGTACAGTGAATACGATTTGACCAAGTGAAAAAAAAAAACTATTAGGCGTGATTGAAACAATTCGATTAGAATAAGATAAATTTAATCCTTTCTACTAAGATTGCTTAAATATAATTTCACAGCTTGTTACCATAAAACCTATAAAGTGAAATTGCAATTATATCTTTGCCATCATAATATCTAAGGTATCATAACATTATATTTATAATATTAGTAACTATAAATATTTCTCTTCCTTTAATTTGTTACTGTTAGTTTAGTAGACACAAGTGAAAAATATCCTTAAGTTTTAACAATTAAATTTTTGGGTTTGTCGGTTGGTTACAAACTTATATTATGGGGTCGCCACGTAAGCGACGTAGTCATGCTCGTAAACGTTATGGAAGCTCTTCAACATCAATCAATTCTTATAGCTCTAGTACTCCTGATCGTCGTAGTAAGCAAAGACGCCATGGTAGGCAAAAACATAAACGGTCCCCATCAACCCGTTGTCGACACCACGATCATCATAAATCTCGACGTGATAATGACCATCGATCTCAAGGTGGAAATCGTAAAAGAAGCGTTTCAATAAGAACTCCGCCGTTGCCCAGGGTTCGAACAGTGTCACCATAGATAAGGATTAACTTAAATGATATGCCTCATAACGTTACAAGTGTGAACCCTCAATCCCTACCTTATGTTATGGAACCACCAGTTACTTCAGGTTTGACAAGCAGCTCAATGGCTGTTCCTGTTACTCCTATTGGAGGACAAATGTGGTTTAATAAGATAACGGCAAATTTTAATGTTATACCAGAATTTGATCCTTCTGTTGATAGCCAAAGCATTGAATGGTGGATTCAAAAAGTGAGAGCGAAAAGTTCATATAAATATTCCTGAGGGATTTAATTTTTAAATTTAGAAAATTAAAAGTAAAAGTTTGTCATAGTTATTTTAACCAACCAGTGTTAGACTTTATAGTATGACTGTTCCTCAATAATAAACTTTTTCGGTCAATTTACCAATTTACCACTATACGCTCATTATATTCAATTATTAGGACGTACTATGTACAGTGGGTTGCCAAATTATTAGGGACAGTCAATTTTTTTCTTGTTTTCTAACTTTGGATGCACTTGAATACTTGACTTCAAGTGGTTAGAGTGGAGATGAAATTTATTATATCGTTTGACCTGATTCTTTCGCTAACATAATAAATAGATTTTGAGATTTATGGGGTTTGTTTTTATATTTTAAAAATTTTTGAATAGCGTGCGAGCCTCATTATGCTTAAGACGCGATAGAGTGAAAGACGGATTTGAAGATTTCAAACAAAGTAAATTTTATATTTGTGCTTTTAAATTGTGTCAAAATGTAAGTACTGTTATAATTTATTATTATATAAATATTTTTGTTGAATAATTTTGATAATTTTATTTTATTTTATAATATTTATTTCGTTTTCCAGCATGGGTAAGGGGTGTGATTTGACTCCTAGGAAGCACACCACTCACTCCCAAAGGAAGATAGCAGATATTGCTGGTGTTTCCAAGTCGGTAGTTAATAGAATAAAAATTAATTTGGACAAAAAGCAGCCCCTGTCGCTTAAGAGAAAAGGCAACAGTGTGAGAAAGCGCGTCACAACACCACGTTCAGATAGAAAAATTAGGGATATCTGTCTACAAAACCGAAAAAAAGTGCTAGCCTGTTAACTCAATTAGTCCAAGAATCTGGAATATCAGTTTCCAAGAGAACTGTGCAACGCAGGTTGGCAGAAGAAGGATTAACAGGCCATCGTCCTGTAAAAAAACCTCGCTTGACTGAAGCAATGAAAAAAAAGCGACTGGCTTGGGCTCGGCAACATCGACAAATGACAATTGAGGACTGGAATAAGGTCAGTTTACCTTATTTCTGTTGTTTTTTCCTATTTGCCATTATATTCGATAACATTATTCAACATTTCTATTTTTTTTCAGGTGTGTTTCTCCGATGAATCAACTTTTGAAATTTTACCCGACAAAAGTAGCTTCGTCAGACGGCGCCCAGGTGAAAAATATCACCCCGACTGTATCGTGGAGAGGGTAAAACACCCTGTCAAAATAATGGTGTGGTCAGTCATAAGTGCCAAGGGTGTTGGACGGCTCTACGTTGTCCAGGGGACCATGAGACAACACCAATATAAAGAAGCGTTACGAAATCGATTGTTGCCAACACTCAGGGAGTGGTTCCCTGGTGGTGAGAACTTCACCTTTATACATGATTCAGCACCCTGCCACAAAGCAAGAAGTGTCACCAAGTGTCTAGGAGGGAATAACATTCCAGTCTTACCTTGGCCTGGCAATTCTCCTGATATTAACCCCATAGAAAATCTTTGGGAGATCACTAAAGCAGAAATTGCCAAAGAAATGATAACCACCAAGGTAAGACTGATTGAAAGGCTAATAGAGGTTTGGCATCACAATCCTAGAATAAAAGAAAGTGCTAAAAAATGCATAGGAAGTATGCCCAGACGCATAGAAGTACTAATTGCAGCCAAGGGAAATGTTACAAAATATTGACCAGTAAAATTCGACATCTTGTACTTATTTAATTTAATTATTTTTAATGCCTTTATAATATTTCTTAATTATGACATCATAGGATATTGTCCTAATTATTAAAAACGTAGTTAGATTAAGAAGCCTTTGTTTTATTCATTAAATTTAGCCAAATACTTGACAAATGCATTTTTTTCAACTGATAATCGGGTTAGGCCTTTTCAAAATGTATATAATATGCTTTGTCATATTGCAATTCACTGGAAAACACCTATTTATAATAAAAAGCAATTTTGAACGAATACCTAATTAAAATACATAAAAAATAAACATAAACACTCACGCCTGTCACCCAGAGGGGTAGGCAGAGACTACAGACTTCCATTTAGCACGATCCTGACATACCTTTCTCGCCTCTTCCACATCCATATACCTACGCATACATGCTCGTCGGTTAAGGGTACTCTTAATTTGGCCCATTTTTAGTATATCGACAATATGGTCGACAAACTTCCGCCTAGGACGTCCCTTTCCGACTCTTCCATTCACTTCTGCAACATATATTTGCGTCAGTCTTTCCGCATTCATTCTTTCTACATGACCAAACCACCGAAGCATTCCTTTCTTAATCCTGGTCACCGCATCATCTTGCAAACCACACTCTTCTTTTATCACACAGTTTCTCACCCTGTCACTCAGATTCAGCCCTAACATACTCCTTAGCGACCGCATTTCTACTGCATTTATTCCACTCTCGTGCTTCTTCTGCCACACCCAACTTTCACTACCATACGTTAAAGTAGGGACTAATACAGCACTGTGAATTGCCATACGTGCCTTTTTTGACACATTCTGACTTTTCACAATAGAGTGTAGAGCCCCATTTACTTTATTTCCTGCATTCACTCGTCGTTCAATATCCTTATCATATCTCCCATCCCTGCTGAATACACATCCCAAATATACGAACTCATCCACTTGCTCAATTAACTCTCCTTCTATTCTTATTTCACATACCGTTTTGCTTTCATCTCTTTCAAAAACCATCACTTTCGTGTTACTTGCGTTCACTTTCATTCCCCTTTCTTTTAATGACCTGTTCATTAATGTAACCGTCATTTGCAACTCGGCCGCCGACGACGCAAGTATGACTTGATCATCGGCGTACAAAAGGCATTTGACGGTTAAGTTGAAGATGCGGGAGGATGGTCACCCATTCTTAACCCGCATTCTTCAACTTTCAAATTTTCCAAACAGCTGTCCATAAATAGGTTGAACAGCCACGGGGAAGCTACACAGCCCCGTCTGACACCTTTATGGATGCCAAACCAGTCCGAGTAGACCCCGTTGATTCTAACACAAGCACTCGAGTCCCTATACAGAGACTTTAATGCCTGTATCAAACCAGCGCTCAACCTAAATGCGTTCAGCGTTTGCCATAACACATCCCTGTCCACTCTGTCATAAGCCTTTTCCAAGTCCATGAACGCACAAAAAACTTTTTGGTTTTTCGCCAAAAACTTCTCCGCGATCATGCGCATGGAAAAGACTTGATCTGTACACCCCATTCCCTTTCTAAATCCCGCTTGCACATCCCAAATTTTTTCATCAGTTTCTTTCATAACTCTTTCAATTAGTACCTTAGCATACAGTTTTCCCACAATGCTATGAAGGCTGATACCACGGTAGTTTTTACAGTCCTGCTGTGACCCTTTTCCCTTATATATTGGGACTATCACGGCTTTGCACCAGTCTCCCGGTACCCGCTTTAGTTCCCAACATAAATTAAACAAGGTGTACAGCAGGCCTGCCACCACGTCCTCTCCAGCCCTTAGCATTTCGGGTGAAACTCTATCATATCCGGCTGCCTTACCTACTTTCATGCTTTTCATTGCTTTCATTATTTCATCTATACTTATCTCCCTATCTCTTTCATCTTCTTTCGGAATTTCTATTTCATTTAATTCACACTTCTCCTCACTCATAAATTCGCTTTCAAAATATTCCTTCCATCTCTTTAGACTCAACACTTCATCATTCAGGATACAGCCATTCTCGTCTCGTATCGCATTCAATCTAGGCTGTTTTGAAAGTCCCCTGGTATTTCTTACGAGTTTCCAGAACATTTTAATATTTGCCTGGAAGTTATCCGATATTCTTCTATCATTCCTATCCGTTCTTTCTTGCTTTTTCCTTTCAACTAATTCTTTTACTCTCTTATTTAAACGTTTAAACTCAGCCTTTTTTCTTTCATTCTCATCATTCTTACCGCCAGAATTACCAGCTTTGGTCGCTAGTAAATCTAGCCATGCTCTCTTCTTTGCTTCAACTTCCATACGTACCTCATCATCCCACCATAACGTATTGTCTTTCCTTTCATTCGTTCTCTTACTAACACCACATACTTCGGTAGCTGCATCCACTAAACCTTTCTTAACATTATGCCACACATTCTCCAAGTCTAACTCATTCACACACAACTCATCCAAATTACTTATATTTTCTCTCAGTCTGCATTTGTACTTGTCTTTCACATCTTCATCTTGTAACCTCTCAATTCTTATACGCTGTAAGGCAGTGGTAGACACAGATGTCCTATGCAGCCAACGTCTGAATAAACCCCTAATTCGGCATAAGACCAGGTAGTGGTCCGTCCCTACGTTGGACCCCCGGTAAACCCTTGTATCCACCACTGCGCTTCTCATTCTTTCATCCACAGTTATGAAATCTATCATGCTTCTATCATCACCTCTTTCTCAAGTATACATGTGAATCTTCTTATGACGAAAGAAAGTGTTCGTCACAAAAAGATTCCTTTCCACACATACGGTGAGGAGGCTTTCACCATTCTCATTTATATTCATCACCAAACGTTCCCAATATCCTTTCATAACCAAGCCTCCTCACCCCAACCCTTCCATTAAAATCTCCTAGCATAATAATATTTTCATTTCCCTTACACTTCATTAACACCATCCTTACCATTTCCCAAAACTGCTCCCGGATATAAGTGGGCTTAGACATGTCTGGGGCGTAGACCCCTAACACAAACAACTTCTTTAAGCCCACTTTCATTCGTATCCATAGCAGTCTTGGGCTTACACATTCATACTCTTTCACACATTGGCCCATTCTTTCTGAAAGGATGATACCTACTCCCTGGCATGCTCGCTCGATCTCGTCTACACCAGACCAGTATGCGGTATACATGCCATGTGCAGTGACATCCTTCCCCTTCCTTTTCGTCTCATTTACACATAATACATCTAGACAGGCCTGTTGGTTAGTGGTTAGTGACTACCAGGAGGTTGGGAAATGTTTTTATAGAATCATTTCTTTCTGGGTGTAATTTATCTATAATATTTATGTATTTAAAAATATATAAGTATGTTTATCAGTCTAGTACATAACACAAGCTTTGGGGTTCTTGGTTGGGTTTTTGAATGAAATTTTTTTTTTCATTCTCTATCATACATCATATCGCATACTTCATCCATTTTATCATTCATTGCCCCACATACATTCAACGTAGCCAGACGGGCCTCTGCAATCCACTTTTCGCCTCTCTGGGAGACAGAACGTGACGGGTGGCGAACCTCGTCGCCGGTTTTCCTCCCGGAGATTCTTCGCACCCCTGCCCCATTAAAGGGGCTCCGGGAACTCGGGGCCATTTCTTTTACTTTTTGCCTCATGGTGCGAAAACTAGGGCGTGGCATATTTTACGCCGCTACCACACGGCGAGTAGCCGAGTCTGTTCTTTCGGCTTTGTCGCTCTTTTAGCACCACCCGGGGGAAACGTGTAGGGTGGGCCTAGGATTAGGTGGTCGAAGCCTACGGACGCGAGCGACTTATCCCCCCGAGCGACTTATCCCCCTAATCTAATTAAAATATAACGTCCTATATATAAATAAAAATCTAATTAAAATATTACGTCCTATATTTAAAAGTTGTAAATATTTTACACTGTATTTGTAATTTTTTGATTTATTTTGTTGTTATTAACAGTTAAGGTTTGATAACTCATTTTAGTGGGTAAAATCCTGTTGAAGAGACTTGCAAGTGTGTGTGAATTACATATCTATTAGGATAAGTTATTTTGTATGCAAAACGTAATACAAAATATTATGCACCTTTTGAAGCGAGCATGTTGTTGAAATTAGGAATAATTTTACATTAAAAATGGCAAGCTTTATAGAATCGTCAAAAAGAACGATACCTTAATGTTACTCTAGGTGGTTCCTAAGTCTGTAAGATGGCAAATACTAAAATTGAATCATGACAATAACGGTCATTTTGAGTTTAAAAAGACATACGAACGTATCAAAAGGATCTACTGGTTCGAAAATATGAGAGTTCACTAAAAATTTTGCAAGGCTTGTCTAGAATGTGCTCATAATAAAATTCCAGTCGAACCAAGGGAAGTAATGCTTCAATATATATTCTTTAATAAATTGAAAAGGTAAGCAAACCATTTGACACAATACATGCGCATCATTGCAGGCCATTCCCGTTAAGCAAAAGAGGAATCAATACAATATCTTAAAGCTGTCCGTGACTGTAGAAGTAAAACGAGTATCCAAATTTTTAAAGAATACTTTGCATTATTCGGGGTGCCGCAGCGGTTAATTACAGATCGCGGTATCAGCTTCACTAGTAATGAATTTAGCAAATATGTAATGGGGAAAGGTATGAAACACA